AACCGACGTGATTCTGCAATCTTCATTTGGGGTAAAATTGGGAGTTCATAACCCACTTCAATCTAATGTATGAAATATGATATGTCAAGAGCTTTGTAATGTTGTGAACAACCAATAAAAATTTAAAAAAAAAGAACTATAGGATAACATAAAAAGATCAAATTTAAAAATTATTGGGATAGAAGAAGGCATAGAGTTCCAAACTAAAAGAATGTACAATCTATTCAGTGAAATAATATCAGAAAATTTTCCAAACAAGAAGAATAAATTGGAAAATCAAATACAAGAGGCTTACAGGACATCAAATGTACAGAATTACAACAGATCCACACAAAAGCATATTATAATGAACATGCCTAGCATACAGAATGAGGAGAGTATTTTAAAAGCCAAAAGAGAAAGGAATCAGATTACATATAGGGGGAAACCAATCAGGATCTCTGCAGATTTCTCAACCAAGACTCTCAATGATAAAATATTCTAGAACAACATATACCAAGCTCTGAAATAAAATGGACACCAACCAAGAATCTTATATCCAGCAAACTTAAGCTTTAGATTTCATGACAAAATATAAACTTCCATATAAACAAAAGTTAAAAGAATTCACAAAGAGAGCCTGCACTATGGAACATCCTCAGCAAAATATTCCATGAGGAGGAAATAAAAAAAACAACAATGAACATCAGCAGAGGGAGATATTACACTAAAGGAAAACCAATCAAAGGAGAAACCAAGTCAAATTAAAAACCAAAAAATAAACAAAAATGACTGGGAATACAAATCATGCCTCAATAATAACCCTGAATGTTAGTGGTCGAAAGACACTAATCAAAAGACACAAACAGGCAGAATGGACTAAAATAAAAGACCTAACAATATGCTGCCTTCAAGAAACTCATCTCATAAGAAAAGWCATCCACAGACTGAAGGTGAAAGGTTGGTAAAAACATACCACTCACATTATCTATGGAAACAAACAGGGGTTTCCATCCTCATATCAAATAAAGTAGACTTCAAGCCAAAGGTAATCAAAAGGGATACAGAAGGGCATTTGATACATAAGGGAACAATACATCAACAAGACATAAGGATTATAAATATATATGCCCCCAAACAAAGGAGCATCTACATTCATCAAATTCTTCTCAATTTCAAGAGTCAGACAGACCACAGCACAATAATACTGGGTGACTTTAAAACATCTCTTTCACCACTGGATAGATCTTCCAAACAAAAGCTAAACAAACAAACTATACATCTCAATAGTACAATCAATAACTTAGATTTAACTGTCATATATAGAATATTTCACCCATCATCGAGTCAATATACTTTCTTCTCAGCAGCACATGGATCATTCTCTAAAACAGACCATATATTATGCCACAAAGCAACTCTTYGCAAATACAAATATGTAGAGATACTATCCTGCATTGTATCAGTTCATAATGGAATGAAATTAGAACTCAATAGAAAATAAAAAAATAGAAGCTACTCCAATACCTTCATACTAAATAATATGCTTTTCAATGAACAATGGTTTGCAAAACACATCAAAGAGGAGATTCAAAAATTTTTAGAGGTAAATGAGAAAAATGATACAACATATTGAAATCTCTGGGACACCATAAAGGCAGTACTAAGAGGAAAGTTCATTTCATGAAGTTCATTCTTCAAAAGAAGAAAAAGTCAACAAGTAAATGACCTAATATTATATCTCAAAGCCCTAGAAAAAGAAGAACAAATCAACACCAAAAGCAGTAGAAGACAGGAAATAATTAAAATCAGAGTTGAAATCAATGAAATTTAAACAAAAGAAACAATTTGAAAAATTGACAAACAAGAGTTGGTTCTTTGAAAAAGTAATTAAAATTGATAAAGCCTTAGTCACCTTAATGAAGAGAAGGATAGAGAAAACTCAAATTACTAACATCTGTAATGAAAAATGAAATATCACAATGGACACTACAGAAATACAGAAGACAACTAGAAATTATTTTGAAAATTTATACTCAAATAAAATAGAAAATATCAAACACATTGACAAATTTCTACAATCATATGATTTGCCCAAACTCAATTCAGGACAGGTAAATTGTGGAACCAACCTAGATACCTTTTAGTAGAGAATGGATACAGAAAATGTGGTAAATGAATTATTACTTAGCATTTAAAGAGAATAAAATCATGGCATTTGCAGGTAAATGGATGGAGTTGGAGAATGGAAGGGAGGTGGCATGGGTATAGGAAAGATGGTAGAATGAAATGGACACCATTATCCAAATATATGTATGAATACATGAATGGTGTGACTCTACTTTGTGTACAACCATAGACATGAAAAATTGTGCTCTATATTATGTGTACTATGAATTGAAATGCATTCTACTATCATGTATAACAAATTAGAATAATTAAATAAATTTTTAAAAAGATATAAAAAGAAAATAAGCTGATGTAACACAAATTATAAATTGTAAATAAAGTAATTAAAAACAGAATGTATAGATCAATGGTCTTCCAGATATATCACATTAAACTTTTTGAGGTTAAAATTATTGCAGAAATGCTTCATGATATAAAATATGGTCATAAACCATGTGTTGAAGTATACTTGAACTATGTTTTGAGAAAGTCTTGCCCTCAATCATGGGTCATTCATGTGTGTGTGTTTGTGTGTGTGTGTGTGTGTGTGTGTGTGTGTGTCTGAGTGTGTGTATGCAGCTTCCTAATCAGGTACACATTTTAATTTGTTTTCTAACTTTTGGAGATGTCAACCCTATAACTATTAACTCATGTTATGTTTGAACTTACTAATAACATTAATTTGTAAACTAAGTAATTCTCAAGAGAAAATGTCATGAAATTGCAGTGAATAATATTTCTAACTTATGGCTTAAGGAATACGTGATCCATTTTCATCTGTAGATCAGCCTTTTCAAATGCAAGCATACAGAACTTTAAGAAAAACATTCTCAAAATTCTGGAGAATATTTGACATTTTCCTCCACCTCCATCCTACAATGCCCAGAGATCCTGAAATACTCCTAAAATAGACATCATCATATGCTTTCCCCACCTTTCCCCACATTTACTTTAACATTTTTCATTGTTAACCTTCATTTTTTAGCCTGAAATTCGAAATCAAATAAAAATAAACTTTAAATGTTTAAGCCTATTAGTATACATGTTTTTAATGAAAAAATATGAATGTTTGTAAAACTTAAAAACTACTACATAATATAGTCTGTATCTTACTTCCATTTATCCTTTTGAATGGTATAGTAATTTATTTCAAATCAAGACTCTCAAATAAATACTGGAGTACACATTTTCTTTTTTGCTAATATAATTATCCATAAAGACTATAATTTTTTTTTTACAAAACCAACATTAAATAATTAAAAAATAGTAAAATTTACCCTTATGATTTTTGAATAGATCAATGGAACTGACTGATTCTAATTGCAGATAAAACTAAAATGTTTTAGTAGTGCTACATCCCTTGGAGGGAGACTGGGTAACCTGCAGGAGAGCAACAATTTTAAAATGTGTTGAAATCAGCATGAATTCATATGTAGGTATTTCAATCACATAAATATTTTTGGCTAWGAACTAAATTCTATAGGCCAAAAAGAAGGAGATTCTTCAGTAAGCATTTTTTTCTTTAAAATGTACTGCATTTCTTTTATTTGCTCCTGATTTTTATTACAAATGATGGCAAATTAAAAGAGATGAAGGGCTGGGGTTGTGGCTCAGAGGCAGAGCGCTCGCCTACCATGCATGAGGCACTGGGTTCGATCCTTAACACCACATAAAAATAAAATAAAGTTACTGTGTCCACCTATAACTAAAAATATATATATTTTAAAAAAGACATGAAATAGGTATACTAAATCAAGGAGGAAAAATTCAAGATAGTGTCTACCACTTAAAATATCTGTCTCAGGAATGGGGATGTATCTTAGTGGTAGTGTGCTTAGTTATCATGTCCAAGGAAAATCCTGGTTTTGATTCCCAGCACCACAAAAACCAAACAAACAGCAGCAACAACAACAACAACAAAACACTTAAAGTCTATCTAAATTTTTAATTATAAATTATTTAGGAACTGAGGCTGAGGTGGTGGCTCAGTGATAGAGCACTTGCCTAGCATTTGCAAGGCCCTGGGTTCAATCCTCAACACCACATAAAAATAAATAAAATAAAAACTACAACTAAAAAATAAATATTAAAAAAATTATTTAGAAACAGAAAAAGGTAAATATGACTTTGTAAATGTACACACTTATTCTACAGGGGATATATAATGTATTTATGATTTAGATATGATTATTCTATTATTTTGATTATTATTAGATATATAATTATTCTATTTTTTTGTGTCTTTTTTTTTTTTGTGGTGCTAAGGATTGAACCCAGGGCCTTCTACATGATTAAGCACATGCGCTACCACTGAGCTATACTCCTAGTCCCTCATTCAGATTCTTAAAATACAAATACTTTAAAACTATAGGACAAAGTAATGTTTTCTTACACATTTTGTACTCGAGTATGCTGATAATCAGAAAGTATAGCACCTACTGATATCCCATCTACTTCTTCTTTTTCCTGAAAATAAAGAAAAAAAGAATTTAAAGGCTCCACACATCATGCTTTGAAAATTATAAATAAATAGTATCACCTAGGAAACCACCTTTTTAAAAAATTTTATTAATTCTTTTATATATGACAGTGGAATACATTACAATTCATATTATACATATAGAGCACAATTTTTCACATCTCTGATTGTATACAAAGTATATTCACACCAATTCGTGTCTTCATACATGTACTTTGGATAATGATGCCCATCCCATTCCACTATTATTTCTAACCCCATGCCTCCTCCCTTCCCCTCCCACCCCTCTGCCCCATCTAGAGTTCCTCTATTTCTCCCATGTTCCCCCTCCCTAACCCACTATGAATCAGCCTCCTTATATCAGAGAAAACATTCAGCATTTGTTTTTTTGAGATTGGCTAACTTCACTTAGCATTATCTCCCCTAACTAGGAAACCACGTTTGAAGAAGAGAAATTTCCTGAAAGTAAAATCCACATTCAGAAAAAAAAAATGCATAGATATGTTTAAATCCACTTTTCTGCTATAGGAAAAATAATAAACTAGAGATCCCTTTTTATGGTAGAAAGTAAAAATTCAGAGAACACTTACAAAATATCTTTACACATATATTTAAAGTACTAATATTTGATAAAAACTTTTGAAAATTTTCTATTTAAAAACCATATTTTCCCAGGTTGAGTAACTTTCTTCCCCTTCCCCYTCCCCTCCCCCTCCCCCCTCCCCCTCCTCTTCCTCCTCCTCCTCCTCCTCCTTCTTTTTTAAAGTAAGCAATGGCACAGATGATACAACATAATGATCTTTATCTGTTATCTTAAAAGAAAAAAAAATTGACATAGGGGCATCCAGAAAGCAAGAGATAGAGATAGTATATAAAGAATTCTATCATGGGATGGAAACAATGACTTATTATCAATATAGTTACAAACAAGAATATCTAGCAGTATAAACCAGCACATTCTCACAGGGACAAAGATAGAGATACACTCTGTCTACCATATGCATTAATGAGCTGAAGAAGAATGTAAATTCGAGTATGATCAAATTTGCATATGATACAACACTAGAATGGACTAAAAAGAAAAGAAGATCAATCAAGTACATAGATGGATATGGACAACTGGGGATGTGGAAGGACAGGTCTAAGGTGAGATTTAATGTAAAGAAATATAAGATAATACACTTAGGGAAGAATAGAACATAGGTTTAAACTAGGGAACTCTTGTCTATAAAACAGACCTGAAGAAAGTGACTAGGGTTGTAATTACTAATAACAAGCCAAATAGGAATTCTCTGAACAGACCTAAAAGAAATCCATCCTACCATATGGATATACATAAGAAACTACTTCAGAGATGACTTCATTATTAATACTGTTTTACCAAACAAGGTAACCTAGAAAGAGAAACAATAGCATTTTTCAAAAGAAATAAAAATTATATATATATATATATATATACTTCTATACATACTAAAATAACTCTGAAACATAACTTAATAACCCCATGTATCTTATAAAATCCCGTAATAAATAAACAAAAACGCACAACAGGAATTTCTCATGTCTTTGGAGATAGTCAATTTAAAATTTCCCTTCCAAAATGATAGAGAATACCGGACCAAACTGCTCCAAAATAAAATGACTATTTCTATCAGATAAAGTTTCAGAAAAAGAGCTATTTTTTTTTCTATTTCAGCAACTTTGTGAGAACATTTGCTTATAACAGTTTTCTAACTTGCCTAGTCATTTTCTTTTCATAAAAGTCATTAATTGTATTCACTGGAAAAAGTCAAGACATAGTGTTTCTTATTAATTGCAAATATAGCACAGATCATAGAATAGTGAAGTTATAACAAGAGGAAAATTTCAGTTATATCCCTATTCCATTTATTTGTTTATCTGAAGTTCTTCCCCCAAGAAAATATGAGGTACAGAATGTTATATACATATGGACATAGGTGTATGTATGTGTGTATTTCTCTGTAAAGCATGGAAACAAAGACTAGAGCCACTATTGTTTTTCCTTCTAACTATCAAACYATTATTATAATAATAACTGAAATTTGCTATCCATTTACTATGTACTGTTCTGCTATGGTTCTCATTTAAAAATCAATATAACCCTAAAACATCTATTTAATTTCTTCTTAATATAGCTTCATTTTCTGGAATTCTTTTCTACTTGCATCCTTTTATTTTTTAATTTAGTAACACCTAATAATTCAGCTTCAGAATCATATCTGGCTGAATTCTGACTTCTTAACACTAAACCTATATAAATATTAACAAATTTATTATTTGTTCAACAATTGTAATCAATACTGCACAATAGAAATCTGACTCTATAAACTGTGAGTTTTGAATAAGTTACTTAATCTGTTTCAGAGTCTTCATCTGTAAAGTCAAGACAGTAACAATTCCTGTTTTCTAGGATTACTATGAAGATTAAAATAATCTGGAAAAATAACAATGTCTAGAACCCAAAGAGGGCTCAATAACTTTTTAAAATTTCATTATCATAATCTCTATTATTCCTACAACTTCTATAAATACTTGTATTACTATTTCTACTACTACTGACTACTACTATTACTACTACTACTACTACTAGTATTGGTACTACCATGGGATGAAGAGTTAACCCTTCCATTCGACTGACAAAGCCCTTCATTCTTGGGCTTTAACATTCTTGCTCATTGTTGTAATTCAATACTAGCCTACTAACCCTTGACACTCAACTATGGTTGCAACAAACTTTTCGAACATAGTAAGTCCTCAAATATCCAGAAATCATTATGACTTCTACTGAATATCTTCATCATTCTGAATATAACTACAAACTTCAAAGAAAGGTAAAATAGACCCTTAAGAGATAAAGATCTATCATATAGTCAGTCCTCTCTGGATTAGTCTGTATTAGTCCTCCCTAAACCATACCTGCTACCACTTGGGGGRAAAAGTCAGTAACTTAATAACAGAGGCAAAATGACAGAAATGGATGTGTCAGGAGAAGAAAAAGGAAATGTCCTCAGATTAAAAAATATCATACTGAGACAGTATAAAATTATAACAAATAAATCGACTTGTGCCCATAGCTGAAATAAGTGTGCTTCAGCAAATAGTTAACATAAGACTCTTGGACCCAGAAGTTGAGGCACATTCAAACTAACTTCCCATGATCCAATTCTATGTCCCTCAAGCAATATAAAGACTACAATGTAGGCTGCCTTGTTACTTTCTACCCCCAAAAGTTTATGCTATGTTATTCTATCAGCACAGCTTTCACCAAAACAAAAAAAAAATCAGAGAATCTAGAGTTTAATACATATTAAATAATATTCTTGTCATCAGGATAACTAAATGGTATTCTGCCAATTGAAGGAGTAGGAAATAAAAACAAAAAATAATGATGTCAGTCAGAGAAAAGGTAGAGACAAAKACTGGACCCTAAATGGCCTGGCACATTGCTAAGCCACACTAGCCTCAGATACTAGTGGAAACTATTAGGCTTACAGCATTATTACTATGAAGGATGGATGTATAAATACAACTAAGGAAATCAAGTCAGCAATAGCATCAGTGAGTAATAGAAATAGCAGTGCAAAATATCTCTAAATATATTAGTATATAATAAACATATTAGTTAATGCTCAACAATGCTCCCTGAAGTAGATTATCATTATCTTTCTCATTTTGTAAATAAGGGACATTAAGAGATCCCTACAAAGTTAGCCATGAGCATATGTGAAAAATAGATATCACAGGCTCATTTGTAGCTTCAATCATTCCCCACAACCCTAATCTTTGTCAGTGTGAAAGAGGCCTGTGAGATTCTTGGGAAGCTAGTCCAGGAAGCTATCTTACCTACACTGACAATCCTAGCAGAGAGGACACAAACACATATTCAACAACCTAAAAAAACATAACTTCATTATAACCACTATTTCCACACTAATCAAAAGGATACTTACACCAAGAATTTATTCAGAAAGAATCAATATATCAACACAAAACAATTAAAAATCTAAGGGCTAAATACAGAGGATCAAACATGATTCCTGCAATATATTTTAAATTGTTAATGGGAAAGAAAAATTACAGCAATTTCTTCTGTGATTAGCCTGTATGTACCACAATTACGGGATAAACAGTTAGTTTTGTGTATGTATGCACATACATGTAGAGCATACAGGTATGATAAGTCCAGCCTTTGGTCTTTTAAAGAAAATAAAAGAAATTTTTAATTATAGTGAATTTTTCTTTGTTCTTTTTGTTTAATAAGAAGAGAAAGAACAAACTGCTTCTGAAAGAACACACAGCATGATACTAATAGGATTGGGTGATGAATAAAGGAAAGTGATAAAGACTTCTACTTTTTACTTTATACACTTCTGTGTTTCTTGAATTTTTCTGTAAAAATATGTAACAGAGAGGCCAGGCCCAGATCCACCCACATCAGCCTGCATAGGACCAAGGCTCAGAGTAGGCTCGGGTCCATCCTGCAACTGCAGGCACCCACAGGAGCCCAGCCTCTGGCACAGGACCACCAATTCGGATCAGCAGACTACCCTGGGAGGTAAGGTCCTGACCAGATCTGCCCTCACCGACTTCTGCACAATCCAGGTCCAGAGTTGCTACGAGTTCATCCCCTCCCAACCTGGGAGCCCAAGCCTAACACACTTCCATCTTGGGACACGGCAGTCATTGCCATACCTTCCCCACATAGTAGCCCCTACCTTTTTGACAATAGGCAGGACCTAGAAGTAGCTGCATCTCAGAACAGGCATCCCAAAGACACTGTAAGGCCCACCCTTCCAGACCAATCTCTGTAAGACATTGCATCAATCTTGGGGCACCTCCACAATTATCTCAAGTTACCTTGGCTATTGCGGCTACAACCTTTAAAGTTGCAGTAACATACATTGAGGGACACCAGCAGGGTCTGGAAGCCCAACACCAAGGTGAGGTACAGACAATCTGCATGGGA